GAACCTCACTTCTTCAGATGCAAGGCTTGCATCTGAAGAAGTGAGGTTCTTACCCACGAAAGCTTATGCTCCCAATACTTCTGTTAGTCTCAAAGGTGCCACAGGACCCTCTGTTGCTTTTTACAGATTCAGACTAACACGGCTACCCCTCTGATACTTAAGGTTTATAGGTGGCTTTAAAGATCACACAATGAATTGTAGAAGTGATAGTCAAGATCTCATGGCCAAAGGGAGAGCGTGGGAATACTCAGCCCTAACCCAGCACTGTACAGATCTGACATGTTTTAGGCAAAGGCTGTTTTTTCTATCCCTCTCCCACTTTCATTCTCTCCTTTCACTGTTTCTTTTTTCTTTCTTTGTTTATCACTCTCTGTACCATTTTCTCATTCTCTGGAAAGCAGTATCTCCTTCCCTCTTATTCTTTGCAGCCTTCCAGTCCTGTCTCTCAATTCTCTCCCTATGTGTACAATACCTCCTCAATTGCCCCATGTTTCATTCTCGTCCCATCTTGCTTACCTCTGCCCTGGGACCTTCACCTTCTTCTATTTCCCCAGCCCTCTTTTCTTCTGGCCTTAACACATATGCACCCATCAGTGGAAAATGACTCATACATTTTAAATTAAGTTGAATAACAAGACAGCCATTTGCTTGACATCAGATGTACCTACAGAAAGATAGTGTCTGGACTGTAAAGAAGTATCTTTTCTCTTTTTTGCTGATTTCGCTTTCTTCTAAATGTTTCTGTAGAGCTCTCTTCTCCTCCACAGTATGGCCACAGGGCGGGACAGCACAATGCTTGGTCCAGCCAGCTACAGAGAGTCAGGGAGCTGTTTTTCGCCACCAAGATTGCCTTTACTACCACTCAGAGATTCTGTTTCCCTCTCACAGATTAGTCTTCATCCTCTCCTGATTCTATTCAAGGCCTGTGTGTACCACAATCCTGCAGCCACAAAATTTGCCATCCAATCTACCCCCTCCCACAGAACTATGCGCCCAGATTTAAGCATTTATTAAAACAAAAGTGTTACTAGCCCCTATGGCTGAGAAGAAAATCTCAAAAACCATGAGCTAAGCGTAATCTGATGCAATGCTGTTTGTCTGAGTCTGCAGAGAGCCTGAAACAACAGTGTTGTAAACTGCAGTGTTCACACTGAAACTTAAATATGACAATGTAAATGCCAGTGGTAAATATCTCACTGCTGATGGTTTAAACAACCAGCTCATGTGTTCATCTCACAATCCCAAACTATGTCCCCAGGTGCCAAAAGCCCCAAATGTACCCTATCCAACTGCCAAAACATCTGGATTTCCCCCCTTCCTTGATGGCAATATGGTCTGAGTCACATCAATGGGGGAAAGGGTTCAAAAGACAAGAATAAAATATGTGGGGCAGAGAAAACATAATGAAAATGGAATGGGAGGCAGAGGGGTAATAGGTCCGTGACTTACAGTGTTGAAAGATGCCCAGAGCTGATGCCTTTAAGAGCCAGACTGGAGTGTCTCCTCTGTGAGGATCCTCTGGTATAGATTCTCAAATGAGACTTGGAAGCCCTGAGCTAGTGCCTATTTGGGGAGACTGTAGGGGGCTCTAACAGTGTGATGATGAATGACCTAGCACAGCCTGTGTGCAGCATTCTTTCCTCTTTCTCCGTCAGACTGTGGCAATATAATGTAATGAGCTCTAAGAAATATGTCCTATCAGTCAGCCCCCGCTATGCCATCAGCTTTCTGCAGAACAACCTGTCCCTCCCCTCTTCTCCCCATAGTCATTTTAGCCAATAGCTGGAATCTTCCAGGAAATCAGACAAGACAAGAGCCGAGTCACTCCTCTGCCAGCTGCCCAATCACACAGAAGGATGAGGAGATTTTTAAGAGGAAACTTCAAAAAAAAACTTTTTTGAAAAAAAAAAAAGCAGCTCTTTGCTTTTTCTCAGGACCTGGCTTCTGTGTAGCATGACACACACAAAAAAACAACCACTTGGATGACGCCATCCAAATGAAAACCAGGCAGAAGTAAGATGGGGGACAGGGTTGTGCAAAGCTCTGAATTAGGATTGGAACATGCACAGACAAAGTGCATGTCAGAACACGAGTTAAAGGCTTGCTTCAAGAACCCAAGAGAAATCCAGTCCCCTCCCCTGTCATGCTCCTGTATCAGACACAGACTGACTACAGAGCTTTTACTTCTACGGAAGATACATACCAGGCGTGTTCGTCATAAGATCCTTTAATGCTCTGCCAGGTATGGCTGAGGTTAGCTTAAATGAGGTATTTTACACACAGTGCCACCTAGTGGCTGAACAGTACAATACAGTTTCACATTCCATTACATCTCTCCATTTAAGTTCTACATTCCTACCATTTACAATATTTACACTATCACACTGTCTTTGAAGTTCAGGATGTATCCGTCTGTTAAGTGTCTCTGAATTGTACTTGTTTTCCAATTAAACAACCCAAACACACAACCACTTAGCCATCTGGCTGTCCATTAGTTGCAATGACTGGCTGTGGTTGGTCCCGAATCCTTGAGTCTTCTTCTTCTGTTCTCCATCCACCATCTGTAGAGTTTGCTCTGTTCATTGTTCTCTCTGAAGAACAAACTGTAGATGTCAATGGTTTCTGTTTAACTCTCCACCATCAATCACATATGATCTGGGCACTGAATTCTTTTTCTTTACGACAGCTGGAGTTGTCCACACCTTTTCTCCACCCAATTTGATATGAACATCGTCACTAGGTTCTAGACCCAGCAGTTCTCTAACTGAATGAAATCTGTTGCAAAAGCATTCATAAGCTCTTTAAGCCTTTTTATCCAATTTGGCAACTCTCTTCGTGTCTGGCCACTTTGGAGCTGGATTCTTTTCCAAAGTTGGAACAGTAGTTCTGAGTTGTCTTCCCATCAGGAGTTGTGCTGGGTTATGCCCAGTAGCTGCTGTTGGTGTTGATCTGTAACTCAGAAGAGCAAGGAATGGATTTTCCTGTTGTAGGATTTTCTTGGCTGTCTGTATAGCTCTCTCAGCCTCTCCATTTGCTTGTGGATAATGTGGGCTGTTAGGAATATGATCAAAATCTTATTTTGTTTGGAATGACCAATTCTGCTGCAATGAATTGTGGTCCATTGCCCATCACTAGCTGTTATGGAATAATGAAGCGTACTTCAGTTTCTCGGTAACACTGTGACATGTTATGTCTTTCAAGCACATTATTTCTATATACCTGGAAAAATAGTCCACGACGACCAGGTAATGATGATCTCTGAATTTGCATAAATCTGCAGCTAGTCTCTTTAAACATCTCTCTGGTAGAGGTGTTGTTATTAAAGTTTCTTTGTGTTGTGTTGGTCTGTTAGTTCTGCAATGTTCACATACAGATACTTTATTCTTTATATTTTTGCTGGTTCCTAGCTACTACACTAACTAGTTGGTCCATTAGCAGCATTTAGTTAATCCTTGATGTCCTTCATGGATGAGGTTTAGGATTTCTCCTCTCATTTTGTTTGGAATTAAGATGCAATTGCCTTTAATTGTAAGTCCATTTTGATTCACTTAATTGTCCACGCATTGCAAAGCACTCTCTTGTCACTTCCTCATTGTCCTTTAGATAGTTAGGCCAGCTGGCTCTAATGTAACTTAGAACTTCCTGAAGTAGCGAGTCTGTCAAGGTTGTTTTCTATAGCTGGTGTAGTCTCTTTTCTGACACTGGTCTGTATGCATCCAGAGCATCCATGTAAGCCTTTATGTAATCTTCAAGCTCACAGGTAGATGAGTGTGATGCTGGGCTCCATGACAGAGTGTCTGCTACTACCAGATTTTTCCCAGGATCATATTTAGCAAAATTTAAATCACATTAACCCAAACAATAGATGTTATCATCTCAGTGGTGCTTGATTCAAGTCTTTTCCATTGTTGAGGGTTAAAAGCGGTTAGTAGTCTATCATCAGTATAAACCAGGGATTCTCAAACTGGGGGTTGGGAACTCTCAGGGGGTCGTGAAGTTATTACATGGGGGGGTCGTGAGCTGTCAGCCTCCACCCCAAACCCTGCTTTGCCTCCAGCATTTTTAATGGTGTTAAATATATTTTAAAGTGTTTTTAATTTATAAGGGGGGGTCGCACTCAGAGGCTTGCTATGTGAAAGGGGTCATCAGTACAAAAGTTTGAGAACCACTGGTATAAATGAATCCAATCCACACAGATATCTGTAATGTATGCCCATACGCTTGCCAGGCACTCCTTTTCAGTCTGTGCATATCGTTTTTCTGCTTCTGTGAGTATGTGAAAGCAAAATGCAATTGGCTTCCACTCAGAGACATGTTGTTGCAACAATACACCCCTGCTATGGCCTATAGCTGCTTGCACTTACACTGACCATGGTGGGTTTGTTCACAACATAATAGTTAAGAGCTGGAGTTGCGGAGATAATTTCGCTTACCCTTTTGAAGGCAATGTCTTGATTTGGCCCCCACACCCAAGATGTGTGGGACTTTAACCATTCATTCAATGGTTTTGTCACCATAGAAAGGTCTTGTGGGTATTGACCAAGGTAATTTACCATCCCCAGGATGTGTCTCAGTTCTGGTACAACAGTTGGTGCATTCAATTCTCAAATTGCTTTTACTTTTTCAGGGCTGGTACTGATTCCATCTTTGTTTATTGTCTGTCCCAAAAAGTCGCTTTGGGGTAGGTGGAAAATGCATTTTTCCTTGTTTAGCTTCAGTCCACACTGACTGATTAGTCTTAGGACTTTGTTGATGGTTTTGTTATGTTTTTCCATCGAAGATCCATATAGCAAAATATCATCCATGAAAACTACAACTCCATTTGTGTCTGATAACAGTTCTGCCTTCATTCTTTGGAAAATGTCACGTGCACTGGTAATCCCAAATGGTGATCTTTGAAAGCAAACTCTCCCAAATGGTGTGATAAAGCACTAAACTGACTGCATTTCTTTGGCTAAAGGAATTTCTCAGAATCCACTTGAGGCATCCAGCTTGGAAAATACTGTAGCTCCTTTCACTTTGGGGAGGAAGTCGTCCAGTGTTGGGAGGATATAGCTTTCTCTCAAAACTGCTTCATTAAGTCTTTTAAGATCCACATAGATTTGTATTTTCCCATTTGTCTTTATAACTGGCACCATTGTGGCACTCTATGCTATTGGCAGAGATTTTCTCGATTATGCCAATCCATTCCATTCTCCTTAACTCAGTTTTTCTGCTTTATTAAGTACTGGGATTGAAGTCCTGTGAGGTATATGTACACTATATGATTCAGCATTGCCTCTTTAGGTTATTTGTACTGGATCTCCTTTCAAAAGTTCAATATCACTGAATATTTCATTGAGTTCTTCCACCTTTCTCACTAAGCCCATCATGGCTGCCACACTGTGTCTGAGAAGTCTGTTGTTTTAATCATAGAATTATAGAATATCAGG